CATCCATCCATCCATCCATCCATCCATCCATCCATCCATCCATCCATCCATCCATCCATCCATCCATCCATCCATTTATCTGTCCATCCATTTATCTGTCCATCCATCCATCCATCCATCCATCCATCCATCCATCCATCCATTCAACCATCTGTCCATCCATCCATCCATCCATCCATCCATCCATTTGTCCATCCATCCATCCATCTGTCCATCCATCCATCCATCCATCCATTTGTCCATCCATCCGTCCATCCATCCATCCATCCATCCATCCATCCATCCATCCATCCATTTGTCCATCCATCCATCCATTCATCCATTTGTCCATCTATCCATCCATTTGTCCATCCATCCATCCATCCATCCATCCGTCCATCCATCCATTTGTCCATCCATCCATCCATCCATCCATCCATCTGTCCATCCATCCATTTGTCCATCCATCCATCCGTCCGTCCTTCCATCCGTCCGTCCTTCCATCCATCCATTTGTCCATCCATCCATCCATCCATCCATCCATCTGTCCATCCATCCATTTGTCCATCCATCCATCCGTCCGTCCTTCCATCCGTCCGTCCTTCCATCCATCCATTTGTCCATCCATCCATCCATCCATCCATCCATCTATCCATCCATCCATCCATCCATCCATCCATCCATCCATCCATCAGAGCATCCATCCATCCATCCATCTATCCATCCATCCATCCATCTATCCATTTGTCCATCCATCCATCCATCCATCAATCCATCCATCCATCCATCCGTCCATCCATTTGTCCATCCATCCATCCATCCATCCATCCATCCATCCATCCATCCATCCATCCATCCATCCATCCGCTTATGAATGTATAAGGGCAGTAGTTTTTCATGGTTCTCCTGAACTCAGAGGATATACTGATCACTGTTGAAGGATGGTTTCTCATGCAGTTAAGACTACTGAAACTCCTGCTACAATAAATCCTATCACAAACTACCACTAATCAATCTGCTGATCGTAGATTTTTAACCAGATTTGTTGCCTGAATTCTTTATTAAAKTTTGTTCTCCTACTCTTAACTTCTTTTTCCAATTCAAATTATAGGTATGTTTATGATTTCTGAAAACAAAAAAGTTAAGGGCTAAAGCACTTTGAGTACCCACGTTGGATAGAAAAATGCTATATAGTACAGTCCATTTAACATTTACCATTTAAGCATAAAATGTCCTTGTAATTTTCTTTTTAGAACAGTAATAACAACACAGTGAAAAATAACCAGAAGTTTTGGTTGTTTTTAGAAAACTGCTTAAAAAAACTAAAGGTAAAGTTTTAAACAAAGATTATAAGCAATCTGTCAATAATTAAAGTGACTAAAAAGATGACTCCCAGCTACTACCAGACAAATAAGATCACTTCATGATGCGTTTGTCACTCCTCTGCTTCACAGAACATCCAGTTGAAAAGTATCGTTAATTCTTCAAGCACACAACTTACTCTTCAGCTTGGATCGAGTCCACTGGAGCCACATAATTACTTGGAATATAGCCACTGCCACCGGTGGTCAGGGAGCGAGCATCCCACCAGTCCCCTTCACTAAAACAGAGACAGAGMAGACAAACGACAGACATTAATACAGCTGGTGCAGAAGACCACAGAAAACACCTGCAGTTTGACCATGAAAAGCCAGAATGCAGCCAGAGGAACTAGGATGGACTCTGAGGTTTGACTGTCTCTTTAGTCACCTTTATGAAATAAACACATCTATACACAAAAAAGTTTGTGTGTGTGTTTATGTTTGAGATGCTGGGATGCTAAAGATGGAGACGGAGCAGGAAGAGGAGCTGCTGGTCCTTTAATTCTGCTAAATGGAGTCACTCTCGGGACATCCCAGGCAAACACAGGCCCGCCTCCTTCAGTTCTGAGAGGGTCCCTCAGGGTCTGAGGGGGCACAGCATCTGAATCCTGAGGTGGAGAAGAATGTTGGGGCGTCTGAGTATGTACCCCCCCCCCCCCACACACACACACAACCATCTCTGCACTGCCACATGAAGGAGAAAACAACAGCGAGGGCAAACAAAAGGCCTACCCATTGTCTCCAAAAGGATTTAACTGTTCTCTGTCTGTGGTGTGGGCTGATGAGAGTCAGATTAAACACAGGCCTGTTGACTGAGACGAGTCATACAGCCAGATGTTTACAGCTGTGTGTCTTTACAGCCTGCAGTTGGACCAGAACAACTGGACCAGAACAACTCCAGCTAGGTTTATAAACAGAGGACAGGTTTTGGTTCTTCATCACGTCTTCACGATAGTGATCCAACCTTGAAAGTCAATGTCTATTTACCCACATGTGATATCACAACAGTCACTACCACCACACAAGAACTGAGGCTCAGTAGCTGTGTTTCCATCCAATTTTAATTCAAATTTTGAGCAATTTTTTTTAATTTTGCATAAAGGAAAAAACAAAGAAATGTAATCAGATGTGTTTTCATCAATTGGCTTGAAGCGAATCAATTACGTCAGATGCATGTGTGTAGTAAACAGGAAGGAAAAGTCACAAACTCGCAGGGTCCACACATCTCAGGACAATGGAGCAGGGGCGGTTCTAGGGGCGGGGCCACAGAGGCAATGGACCCAGCTGAAATCTGATTGGCCCCCTGAAGTGCTCCTGTCCTGTCACTCATCTGTCCTTTACCTGGGAGTGATGATGGTGGATGCAGTTCCA